AAGGACCTGAACCTGCTAGATTATTCATTTTCTCGTTTGTAAATCATTATAAAATTTTATAATTTGTATTCAGTGAATTTAAGATAAAACTTACATCTTAAATATTTTTTCTATGCTGCTTATATAGTTAAAACATTCTATTAAGGAATAAATCCTATAATTTATTCTATTTTGTCTAGGGGGTTTATGAAGTTTTTTTGCGATTTCTTACATTGTCCGACCTTCAACCCAATTATGCAAAACGGTATATTGATTCAAAATTCGTGTGTAGCCTACTTGAAGTCTTCGACAGTAATGACTCTCGGGAACGAGAATACTTGAAAACGGTACTACATCGAATTTATGGAAAATTCGTCAATCTCCGTCTGGTTATAAGAAAAGGCATTACGCACATATTTCTTCGGTGGGTCTAAGAACTTTTTTTTATTCGAAATATTTTATTAAAAATCATTTGCTTATCTGATGGACTCGTTTGTTCTTGCAGAGCTAAATAAAAATAATCAAGTCTTATTTTACACAGGGTTTAATTAATTTATCTACCCCTAACAGTCTTGCCTAGGCTAATTTTTATTTTGCTCTTTACCATTAATTATAATAGATTCTCGTTACTTGGGACAGCACTTAATTTTGGCAGCCGTTTATCTGGGACAAATCTTATAGTAAAATAGTAACTCGAGAAAATAACCAGATTTTATCTCGTTTATTTGGATCTTCATATCGTTTAATCGGGTCGGGCTACTGTGACACTACCAGATCCCCTGCCCTCCTCGACGCTGATTAAGACGGTTTTACTCGAGATTATTTTTAACATTAATTTTATTATTTCGTTTGTAAGTATAGTTTCGAGAACACCACTAAATCAGATATATGAAATGTGTTCATCCTATTTGTTCAAGGTGATGGGAACGTAAAGTCTAACCATATCAATGTTGGAAAATCGAACCACCGGTCTCTCTTCACCTTAAACGAAATAGAGCGAACACATCTCAAATGTCTTGTTTACTTGTAGTCTCAAGACCCTACTTACAAACGAAAAATAATTAATGTAATCGATTACAGTAGCAAATATAACTACTTCATCGACAATCACACTACATTGTAGATACGAAGAGAAACTAGGTTTCGATGAATCGTCTAAGATAACATTGTTAAGGTGACTTTCATTTCGTATGCAAGTGCATGAAGAAGAGATTCGTAGGTCGATCTCACCAGAATAGGACGGATGAATGCTGTTGTACTGCAGCCGTTTGGCTTTTATACGACGTTCAGGTTAACGCAGTCTACGAGACCTGAGCTGAAAGATAATTAGCCAAACCACTCTATATCTATCTAGGTTTTTAATTTTATTTTGCTTAATTGAGCCTATATAAGAGGTAAGATAGAGCTGGACAGTCTTCTTGCCCTAGTATTGACGTGAGACTTGTACAGGTACGAGACCCAGTTCTGATGATGTCCATCATATAATGGACGAAAGCTTAGCCCGTTTTTAAGCCGAAACGAGGGAGGTCTCGTGGAGTGCGTCAACCTGAACGCCGTATAAAAGCCAAACGGCTGCAGTACAATGGGATTCTTCCGTCCTCTTCTGGTAAGATCGACCTACGAATCTCTTCTTCGTGCACTCCTATATTAAAGAAAAGTTCCCTCAACAATCACACCATAGAATGTGATATTGGAAAATGCTTGGCTTTCCTTGAAACTAACATCTGTCCTGTGACCCAAGAGCACTCGTAACAATGTGGTGTAGTGGTTAACGTGTCAAGATTATACGCTGCATTGTCATGCTTCGATCTCTACAATAAAATAGAAATGTGAGTATATTAGCATATCACTTTGGTCTTAGGGTTCGCTTAGGACATTTAAGGTAGCTAGACCTCTAAACCTAATTTAATTTTGCTATTGTATTCATCGTGTGATTCCGATTTAACATTCTCAACAATTTTCTCTTACATAACAATATTTTATACCTTCTATGAATAATCATACACATTTATTTTACAGTTTGTTCCTCTAAAAATTGTTTGTGTTTCAAATTATCAACTCAGTAACTGGGCTTTTTCGATATACTTTTTTCCGGCTTATTTCTCGATTATAAAGTGGTAATTCATGGGGTTATTTATATGCTTGCTTATCCTTGATAAAGACACTTCGGAAATGAGCTTTATTTTTACTAAGTTGCGGTCAGTTTCAAAATATTTTCCCCTCTCTTTTCAATTCGAATTGGGTCTTCTGTTCACAATTGTGAAATTAAAAAAAAACATTTATTACTAAAACATGATATTTTCTTTAAGTGCTCTCCTAATATTTACTCGAATATGTTTATCATTAGATTAAGGGGCAAGTGCTTTTGCAGAAACAAAGAGTCAGATGACAGTCTAACCTTTGAAGCATCATCTAAGCTCGACTCAACTTATGAATAACTTGTGTTAAACACATAGTCTATTACACCAATGTCTTTCATGCCGCTTATTTTTTTCTAGTAAATATTTTAACGATTCCATATATTCA